CAGTTTGTGGAGGTTTCAGTCCATACTTGGCTGGTTCCAAGGCAGGGTGGCACATAGCAGGGGGCAACAGTTCATGGCAGCGGAAGACAGCAAAAAGCAGCAAGAGCACAAGCGAGGAGCAGTGGCAAGCAGCCTCTTTCCCTCCCTTACATTGGTATGCAAACTACCTGCCCCATGGCGGGTGTATCTCACACCCATGAATCAGTCACAAACTCTAGAAGCCCACCTTACAACTGCATGAGGTTTTGGTGGGACATCCAGACACAAACCATAACACTCATCCCTTCCTTTCTGCACTAAAACCCTCACTTAATGCACAGTGGATTATGAAGGGCAGAGATAGCCAAAGCAGAAGTTGCAGGAGGAAGGTGGGTTTTGTTAAGGAAGGAGGCTGAATGTGGAGGAAGAGGACCGTAGCACAGACTGTAGTCATAAGGAGAGTCTAGGAGATGCTCTGGAGAATGCCACACACTGGCAGATGACATTTGCCCCACTGCTTATTGCCACAGCTTTAAGGGAGCTCAGAGACATGCTGAGGTGGATGATCACAGGGACTTGGGGCTCATAGAGTCCAGGGACCCCAGTGTGTCTCATGAACAAGCTCCAAGGGAAGCAGGGAGGAATGCTGGTCACTCAAGTGCTTTGTGTGAGATCCAGAGAGGAAATGAATTTCTTTCGAAAAGAAAGGGATGCAGACAGTCATCCCTGGGCTGCTCAAATCATCGGTATAATCTCCCAGCTCATCCCTTGCTCACAGTGCCCAGGGTTTCCAGTGCAGCAGGCAAGGGTCCCTGTGTGTCAATGTCACGCACCAGTCACGGCCGCTGAAATGTGCCGCAACTCAAAGAGAGGCTTTTAGATCTTCCTAACTTGTGGGATTGGCTGAGGTCCAAGCCAATTACAGCTACATCTCCAAGGTGAAGAGGGACACAGCAGACATCTGGGTTCCATTTATAATCCCAGCGCTCCAGGAAGATGGAAGGACTAGTGCGCGGGTGCTGAGTGCGGAGCCCTGAAAGGCCCTGTGTGGGAGGTTCTTAAAGGCACTTTCTTGGCTGGCAGCCACCCAGTGGTATGGGGCAGCTCAGGCCTTGCCATTCTACCCCACCTGCAGGAGTGCTTCCTTCCCTGCAACCCCTGAGAGACGCCCCAGCACCTTCCCTGCATGCTTGCAAGCACGACCTGGGCAACAAGCAAATCCAAGAAATTGGAAGGAAACCTAAAGAGGTGCACCCAGGGAGGGACCAGGTGTTACCCATGGGCCATCATGACCCTGGAAGTGAATGTGGGAGACAGCACCCAGAAATCTGGGTGGTCAGAGGAGGTGAGTAACCCTGACTTTGTCTTGTCCAGTTTGGGTGGAATTTTCATGGATACTTCCTTGATCTTAGGATCAAGACCAGCTATTACACCTTTGGTGTTCTGGAAATTTGTTCCTGAAAGATTTGTCTTGGAGGTTCTATTAGCTCTGAATGCAACCTGGACACAAGGAGTTAGTCACAGAGAACAGGGGAGATTAATCTCCCATCCTCTTGTTCTCAAGGCTGTGCTCCTGTCATTACAGGAGTAGGATAGAGTGAGGAAAGGGAAAGGAAGGTGGAGAGATAGGGAGAGAAAATGGAAGAGGGGAGGAGAGAAAGAAAATACAGAGCAGAGGGAGAGAGAGAGACAGAGAAAGACAAAGACAGAGATAGAGACAGAGGGAGAGGGAGAGAGAGACTCCCAAGTCATAAGATCAAGGAACAAAAGCATCCTTCTGTCCACACACACATGTGGTACAATGTGACTTCAGGGCACTGAGGACCCTTGAGAAAGCAGTGGACAGAAGGCATTACAGGATGGGGAAGTGAAGGAATGCAGAAATCTACACTATGAAAGGGGACCAGCCTCAAAGAAGAGAGTCCTGACATTCATAGAAGACGAAGGTTGGACTTTACATAAGATTTGTGTGATAAAATGCCACACATTGGACTTTACATAAGATTGTGTGTAAGCAGATGTTGTTTGCCTACATGCAGCTCTCTTTCCAGACTGGCCAAGAGGAATATTTATCCTTTTGGAAAAGGTTACTCACTTCTGGGAATGCAAACTGAGAGATAGTTCTGTGACTATAACAAAATACCTGAGGCTGAGTAGTTTATAAAAGAAAGAAATTTACTTAGCTCTCAAGTGTAGAAGTTGGAAGTCCCAGATCAGAAAGTCTCATCAATTTGGATTCTGGTAAGGGTTTCATATTGAGAGCAATCACATAGGTGAGAGAGGAAACCAGAGTTAGGGAAAGGGTCAGCCTTGCTCGTTTATAACAACTGGCTCTTTTGAGGACAAGTGGGGTCTCAAGAAAATTACATTCCAAGGGCACCCCTTTCCTGCCAGAGACCTAACAACCTCCTCCTAGGCTCCACCTCATCAAGATCTCACCACCCCAACACCGCCAGTCTGATGACCAAGCTGAGAACCAGCCAGCTCCTTGGGGAATCATGCATTTATGGGGTGAATTGTGTCCCCCAAGGAGACCCACATCACAGGTCTAATCCCAGGGACCTCAAAACATGATCTTTCTTAGAAAGAGTGTTACAATAAATTCAGGCTGGAGTAGAACAGTAGGTCCTCCTGTGCAGCATGACTGGTGCCTTATCAGAGAAGGAGACAGACAAAAGAGCGACCATCTGGTGACCAGCAGACAGGCTGCAGTGAAGCGGCCCCAAACCAAGGGACACCAAGGACTCACAGCCACCATTAGAAACCTGCAGGTTTGAGGAAAAATTTTCCTCTACAGATTTCAGAAGGAATATGGTGCTGCGTGACACCTTAACTCTGGACTTCCAGCCTCCACAGATGTAAGACATGAGACATCGGTTGTTTGAGTTGTCCAGTTGGTGTGGTTTGTTGGTGCAGCCCTTGGGGAACCAATAAGAGCATGTTCAAATCTCCTACTTCATTGTTGCCGGGGGAGGGGGTACTAATACTTTTGCTTGCAAAAAGGATTGGTGCTAGCATGCAATGAGTGAGTTTCTGACGGTGTTATTTTAGACTTCAAGAAGGGCATCTCAGAGTGCCTGCTTGTCCTGACGACAGAACGGCCAATATTGAAATTTAGATTGGTTTTGAGACTGTTAGAGATATCTCAGGAGTCATTGAAGAAAGGTGATGAGTGAAGAGAGATGTGACATTTCACTCCAACCAGAGTAGTCTCTCTTCCATATATATATAGTACATTTTAATATATATATCATATATTTTAATACATTATATATTTACATAAGATACATTTACTTACATAAGTTTTTCACTTGGAAAAGAGCTCTGAAGTTAACACAGACTGGAACTAACTGCATCTTGGAAGTATGTCACTCACTCTAAAGGCAAAATTTGGGTTTATTTTCCCTCCCTTGCTATCATTTCTACAAAATGTGCTCATTACCATGCATGTTTATCCCTAAAGCAGAGAGCTGGACATTTCCACCAAGAATCTCAGGTGAGGAAATCTGAACACAAAGCAAACGATATTATTCTCCCTCCTTTGCTTTTAGTTATTCCAATGGGCACAGGGGAAAGATTAGCTGTTTTCCTTTGTGCTAGTCGTTTTAGAATGGAAAAATCAAAATCTTTGCCTCTCAAAACATGCTAGAGGACCGAACTAAAACTCAAAATATCTAGTTTATTTTACTTGTTGATTTATTGGCTGTCCTTTTTATTTTTTGCCATGAACAGTGATGTACGATTTGCATTCATGAGATCCATACAGAAATACTCCTGAATACAAAAAAGAAAAAAAGACTGACGTTGAAGGAGTAGCTTGCTATTGTAAAACTAATTCCTTCCCCACTTTTATAGGTATGATCTCACTGGAAATCCATAGCTATCCTGGGACACATGAGACCTGGTATTCCTGACAGGAACCCACAGATGGCCTTGGAGTCTAAGGAGGCTCCAAGAATCCTCCTTGGCCTGAGGCCAGCAGTGGGGGGGGGGGCTGGGGGGGTATCCCCTGTCTTCTCAGACTACTGCTTTCCGTGACAAATGAGGAGTGTTTTGGTTTTTCCTTCTAAAACGTGGCTAGGCAGAGAGCAATATTAAAAGCTTAACAAATATTTCTGCTACTTCTCCCATAAATGTTAGAGTCAGTCTCAGCTTTTGTCCTGTCACTGTGATAAGCAACAAGTCCCAGGAAACAGTGAATACCACCTTCAATTCCCTTAAAAAATTCTCCAGCTAAGCATTTGAATCTCAAAATTCTCTTCGAATCATAACAGCGAATCACTCATCCACCCACTCTCGCCCTTCTGTAGAGACGCGCTGTGACTCCCCAGGAGCGCGCCCGAGCTCCAGGCTCCTCAGGCTGGGTAGGTGGGCAGGCTCCTCAGCCTAGGATTTTGGAATGCTTCTTTGTTTCCCCTTGATATCTCATTTTCCTGTTTACAGGTCCAGGATGGGTACACTGAAAAGGACCTGGTGACTGTGGACTGGCCTGTTGAAGGAGGGAATTTTTTTTTTTTTTTTTTAAACTGTTCCGGGCTTCTCAAAAAAGATTAATCAAGGACAGAGACACTGTGTAGCTCAAGGAAAAGCAGCACGTCCAGGCTTCAAGCCCAGGGTCTTTGTTTTTGCCTCTAAATCAATGGCCCGCGGGGACAGCAGGCTGTGTGTGGTGGGAGTCCCACTTCCCAGATTCCGCCCCAAGGACCGATGAGTCCAGCTTGCAGGAAACCCCAAACTTTCCAAAGCAGCATCCCGCGCAAGAGGGTATTGCAGGGTTGGTTTGGGGAAACAAGGCGACAGGGAGCTAAGGTTGGGGGGTGGTAACCTGAGGAGCTTGTGAAGAAGGTAGGGGAGTCCAACCACGCAGCGAGGGGGCGGGAAGAGCAGAGACTGGGCGGTCGGAGAGGGGCGCACCCGCGCGCGCGGGCCGGGAGGGTGCGCGTGACATCACGCCGGGCCCCTTCCCCTGCCGGGTGGGTGGGGCCTGGCGCGGCGGGCGGGCGCGGGGTCACCGAGGGGAAGAGGAGGAGCGGGCACGGATGTGTCTGTGTGAGCACCGGGGAGGGGCGCGGGCGGGGAGGGAGTGCGCGCGTGGCTGGGGCGCCCCGGCTCCCCCAGCCGCCCCGGACCCTGGCCTCCTCGCCGCCCGCGTCGCCCCTTGGACCCGCTCCCAGGGAGGGGACCCGCTGGGAGCGGCCTACAAGCAGCGAGAAAGCAAAAGTAAGGCGAGAGCGGCGCTCCAACTTTTCCCAACTTCGCCCCCTGCGGCGGCAGCGGCGTCCGGCTGCTCGGCGCGCTGCCTCTGAGCCGGAGAGCGGCCGAGAGACTGGGGACTGGGCGGGGTGGGGGGAGTGGAGGAGGGCGAAGAGGAGGTGGAGGAGG